ACAGATGGTTTGAAGTTGAATGGGAAGGTGGGGGGAGGTATCTTTTGCGAATAACGCTCCATCAACCTGAAATTTAGGTTACCGGATCATTGCAGTGTCTTGCAAGCAGAGGTAGCCACCAATAAAAGAGGCTGGTTGCTTTCTAGTGTAACACCTTTTAAGGAGGTGAATATTTATTCCGACAGCCAAGCAGCTCTCACGGCTCTTGGCTTCTTGAAAGATAAGCTGGCAAGACAGGGAACCCTTGAGATATAATTTCGGATAGAGAAAGTCTGGGCGTTCCCCTGATCTGGTGGGATCTGCTTCTGGACAGATGTGTGTTTATCTCAACACCTGCTGATCTGATGCCCTGCCTTTGCGAACCTAAGGCTTAAGCACCTTGGGCCGAACTTTTTATCACACTCGCTGTCAGCTTTCGGAAATGGACATCAGTCGCTTGAAGAGTTTCGTTGCGAGCACGGAGCGCATCGCTTACAAGCAGCAATAGGTGTCGTCATTCTCCCTTACTTTCCCGCTCTTATTCGAAGAAAGTCATTTTATCTTTTATTTAAGCTACAAACTATGTTGTTTTAAACTCGTACTATTTTTCGTTTGCGACATATTTTTAGCTCATAAAAGCCATAATTTTCTCTATTCATTCCAACTTTCTCGTTTATCGGCAATTATAATCAAGTATACATGACAATTTTTAAATACCCTGTGTATCGATTCTAAATCCAATCAATCAGATATTGCAAGATATCTGTTTTATGTATAATTATTTCTATTTAGACTTCCTTTTTAAAAAATAATTAAATGTTTCTTGAATAATTTTATTGACTCAAATCATTAATGCCCATACACTTCTATGGACATAAATGTTAATGTCATGCAATTAATTGTAAGCGGACATTCATGCACTTGGGTACATTTTAATTCATATACATATAGTTATGTGAGTAAAACAATTACGCCAAGGTCAGTGTGGCCAGATACCGAAAATCAAAAAAAAAAAAATAAAAAAATAAAAAATCATACAAAATGCTACAAAATTCATCAGAAAATTACGGTTGATATTACGAAAATGTGACAATTTAACAAAATTGTAATTTACGCTAATTCGATTTTTTCCCAGCGGAGTCAAGCAAATGCCAGCAAAAACATGTATCTACAAATGAATATATTACATATAAACATTCATATGTTTGTCATTATATGCAACCACACGGCTGTAGAGAATATCAATGCTACATATGTATCTATATAAAACACTTGCCGACATTTTAGCCATTTGTCCAACCCGACTGGCGATTAGACAGCCGGCGAACGCCCGACCTAGCAATGTGGCCGGTCAGTATGTTTACATCCAAGTCTCAGACAAAGTTTAGTCTGCACATGTAGAGACATATATATATGTATATACATATGTATATAAATTAATAAATTGCTTTTGTATGTACATATGTATGTGTGGTCAGCTACCAGACAGTGTTATTTGCGTATACACAGGTGGGCCTTTATTATTATCCCAACCATGCAGACATACAAAAAAAAATATTTATTTACATACACATGTATACATATGTACAAATATACATACATATGTATATCGATATAATTTTTGGCATGTGTTGGTGAGCACTTTAATTTTATAATAGAGTTTCAATGATTGTCCGTCCGCCTATTTGTCTCACGCAACTTAGAACTGTCTGTATTGCCATATGTGTTAGACTACATACATACATACATAGATATGTACAAACATACATAAATATATCACATACGGTATGGAATTATAAAATTTTTTACATGTATATATGTAGTTTTTATTCAATATATTTATGTATGCACATTAGACTGTATCACTTCCCATACAAAAAAAAAAAAATGGTTACCGTTTTTCCATTGGAATTATAAAATCTGTCATAGTTGAAGACTTGCACCAAAATATTTCGGAAAAATATTAAGATTGGACCAATTTGAAAATACCTTCAAAACTTGAGTTTTCTATCAATCAAAATTGAAAATATTTAAAAACATATTTCAACTAATAACTAATCCATAACTAATAATGACATTTTAGATGCTGTTTTTGAACTTTTTCAAAGATTGATTTAGATAAAGTTGAATAACTCAGTCAAAACGTTACCGATTTGTACTTGTGAGGAATTAATGAAGAGGTACTTTTTCACCCTTTTTTCGTTGCATATATTTCAATAAAAGTATGAAAGAGAAAGGTAAGATGAACGAGCGTCATTCCAAATTGAATTAAGATGTGTTGATATTAAAAAAAAAAAAAATAGGACGTGATTGAGTTTCTTTGAAAAGAAATAATAAAGGTGAGAAAACACCTTTTCACTAATATCTCGTAAGTCTAAAATGAAAAAAGTTATAAAAAACGGCATTTAAAAATGTCTTTATAATGATTTCGTTCAAAATATTTTTATGGAGATTTTTTAAGCTTAAACTGTTTTGTCTTCTAAGAGGATTTTTTTTTGAAATCCTTTAAGAACTTTTAACCTTTAACTATTTTTATTCACAAAAAGTCGATTTTTGGAGGTATTTTCAAACCCGAAATATTTTGGTGGAAGTCTTCAAATATACTCGATTTTGCAACCCCGGCGGAAAAACCCCAATTTTTTTTTTAGTGAGGCGAGTCTAATGTGCATACTTGCCTAACAATATCCACATTAGGGTGGTGCGGAAAGAAAAAAATTTGCGTTTCGAAATTCTAATAGCCCACTAGAATAGAATAGCACTAACATTTTTTATTTTTTTTAATTCGTTTATGATTTCCGCCTCGCCTTTTTGATACAAATTTTGAGTTTTTTGTAAATTTTAAACAAATAACGTAAGTACATAATCAAATAGAACAATTTCAGGCATGCTACAAAATATCGCTGATTTTTGGCATTTTTTTTTATTGATGGTGTTATTCATTTCGTTCCATACAAATTATGTAGATACTCGTATGTTCGCTAAGGTTTTTATATGGAGAATATGAGCAACACTTTTAACAAAAAAAAGTGTTAAGAACCAAGAGTATGTCTTAGCTTAGAATTTACGAAAATTTCAAAATTTCAAATAAAAAAATGTAGGCAGAAAATATTAACCGATTTAAACAAAAATTTATTAGAATTTCGAAACGCAAAATTTTCCGTTTCCGCTCCGCCCTAAAACACATTCATATGCACTTTTGAGTACTACCTTACTTTTTATGCAGGCACAAAACACAATTTATGTACTTATATTTATTTCAAAAGACATGTGTGTATTTAGTATACATACATATAATTATATAAACATATGTACATACATATATATGTGTACATTCATACATATATATGGCGGTCTGATATGTTAATGGCGCGAACATTATGGCCGTCGCCGGTAGTTAGCTATTATTTCAAAACCATTGGGAATAAATTAAGCAGCAATTTTGGCAGGGTTGCCAAGTGTTATTAAATATTCCGTTAATAGCTTTTCAATGAAGTGCTAGTGAATTGCTTTTGGGGTCTCTCTCTCTATTGATGATTCGCTAACCTCTAAATATCAACAAGCCGTAGTAAGCAAGCACTCAAGGTGTCGTTTTCGGGGCCTAAAACCCTAAAAAAAGATGCAGCTAGTATGTGATATGTACATTGGAATATTGATTACAAAACGATAAACTATATTTGTACATAAGGATGGGTAAATTTTTTTGACTATGTGGGCATGGCAGCAAATTTTCCGAAGAAGTAATGGGTCTACAAGCAATTATGAAAATAGGTTTTTTCTTTAGTAAAGTTTTATTTTGTTGTAGTGTCGGTGAAATTTTTTTTGCGAGTGGTTTTACCCCTATTTCAAACATCTTTGATAGTATGTATGTTCACTTACTGAAATATGAAAGTTTAAGCGTTTCTGAAATTTACCGTTATATAGTATATATAAAAGTGGGCTTCATTTTAGGCAGATTTAAAAAATTTTCAAGGTTTTTTTTTTTTTTTTTGTGTTAAGTACAATAATTATACAGATTTTGGTTCAATATGTGGTTCTAGATGGGCGGTGCCATGCCCATTTTTCAATAATTTCTTAGTAGTTACTGACTTATGGTATATTTCGCATTTCTCTATATAAGCATTTTATGAGCAATAGGTGTGGTTATTGTCCAATTTTGCCCATTTTCAATAAATACAATCCGCCCTTAGCTAAAAAAAGAAGTACAAGTACCAAGTTTCGTTAAATTATCTCAATTTGTACTCGAGTTATCGTGTGCATAGACGGACACGGACGGACAGACAGTCGCGGTTTAATCGTATTCACTTTTTTAACTTATTCAGTATTTCGCCAACAGACATCGCCTAGTCCAGTGGGAGTAAAAATGCTCCAACAAGACCCCCCGTAGCGACGCATTTTTCAAGCAGTTCGTTAACGGTCATCACCTTGCGGAGTACCTGTATTCACCCTTCGCTGAATGAAGGCACAGTCCCACTCTGCAGCGAAATTAAAGCTTCATAATGAATTTAATAATTATCTGAAAGTATCTCGATGACAAGGAAAGCATCAACTGCAAAGCCTTTGTGAAAAAAGCTTCCTCAAACAATTTCATGTTTCCGATCTACGCTTACCATAAGCATGCTGAGCTTTTGATAGAGAGTTTATTCAGCCCCTTCAGCGTATAAGTGAAAATGAGGAGGGATTGATCAGCCTAAATTCTTTGGATGGTATGAGAGCCCTAGAAACAAAGCCGTGGTCCTGACAGCCAATGAAAATTGACCACAGGGAAACTCCTTTACACGGAAACGAGTCCTTTTACCGTTCGTTATTTGAAAAAAAGAAACTTTTTTCAGCTCTTATCTTAAAGTTTTTATGAGTTAAAGGAAAAAAGCAATTTAAAATAATCTTCTTTTATGTTAGTAAATTTGTTTATGCTCGCAATTCAGAAAGTTTTTTATGTAGATACATAGATACACGATTATTAAGTATTAGCTTAAATGTTTAATTTCTGTATTACAAACATACATTTGCTTTCTTAATTTCAGACCTTAATCGTCTCGATAAATCGCCACTCCTCGCCAACGGCTACAATCCCCCGCCCATCAATCACATGGCTTTCATGCAAATGAATCATCATCCCGGCACGGCGTTAATGTCACCCGGTATGCCGCCGCATGGCCTACACGCACGACCTGATAGTCAAATGTTGAAAGCTGCCGCTCAAGGTGGTATGTCCGCGGCGAATATGGATGCCTTGGCGCGCTCCGGCATTTGGGAGAATTGTCGCGCCGCCTATGAGGATATTGTGAAACATTTGGAACGGTAAGAATATTTGCCATATTATTTTTCTCTGCTTAAACCATAAAGCATCCATACAATAGGTTAATAAGTTAGCATAAAATAAGGGCTAGTGCACAAAGAGAGCTTAATGGTGAGTTGAGAGACGAATTAATCAACGAACTGAGAGGCACAGATAGAGCATGCACGCAGGTTCGCACACCAAAAGTGTTTTAAGCGAGGTTCGGACCTGAATGTGCTATATTTACACTCTCAGCGTCTATCAGCGCGCTTATAAGTTAACCACTCAGCTCTGTGTGCACTTAGCGTAAAAGTTTGACTTCTTTGATCTTATTTTCTGTCTTCTCTGTTCACCTTCTTCTTCCAGGCTTCGTGAAGAACGCACCGATGAGCGCCAACAAATGAACAGCGGTGGCGGTATCAATGAGCCAAAGATCCGCGATTTAAGCTCACGAAATTGTAAGTTCCTGCGTCCTGTACAGCAACTATTACCGCTACTTTTAAAATACTTCAATGCCTCTTATATTTCCTTCTACTATTCTATTATTTATAGCTGGTTCGCCGAACCGTCACAGCCCCGTGCTGAATCTCTCCAAGTCCGGCGGCAATACGGACCAAGGCAGCAATTGTGATGATCGCAGTGAACGCAGCGAAATGCATTCGCCGGTACATTCGGTGCGCGAGGGTAGCGTCGGTGGCGGCAGTCAGGGTGTGATTGGCGTGGAGGACGACGATGACGAAAATCTGAGTGATGATAATGCGTCAGAAGTCGATGAACGTTGCAACAAAGATGACGAAGGTGAGTGCACTTTGTTTTACATCAATAAAACTGTAGAAGCGCGAAAGGGCGGGACGTCATGTGGGCGGTGAAAGACAAGCATGCATACCAACAATAGCAGCACACAAAAGCTGTTTGCCACACTGACTAATGTTTTTTTAACGCATTCCATTTTCTTCTTCTTCTTCTTCATTTTCTCCTTTCTCCTTTTCTTCTTTATTTGCTCGCCCTTGTTTGCGCAGACTTGAGTGATACTGAGCGTGATAATATAACATCGTCGACGGCGGCGTCGTCACAACGTCATCCACTGCACCATCACCACCCACATCACCCCCACCCACACCACCACCACCACCACCACCAGCTGCACCATGGCGCCAGCAATGCTGTAGGTGTCGGTGAACGCGGCGTGCCAGGCGGGCCGGGCGGTGGCGGTGTCGGTGTAGGTGTCGGTGTTGGTGGCCTTGGCGTGGCTGCTGCAGCTGCTGCCGCCGCCGCTGTTGGTCTCAACGAACGCGACGTTGTCAACTCACACGCGGCACTACAACAATCTCCCGTCTCCACACACAATGCCGCTGCTGTGGCAGCGCTGCAACATCATCACCAGCGTGCTCTGAACTATTCACAATTGGCAGCGGCGGCTGCTGTTGCCGGTGGTGCTGCTGGCGGTGGGCCAGGTGCGAATTCTGCCCTCGCGAATGGGCCTGGCTCGGGTGGCGCGCTTGCGGGCACGGAAGCTTTGTTGGCGGCCAATGACGCCACTGCAGCTGCTGCGTTGGCCGGTGGCCTCGCGCTTGGCCCACTCGCTATGGATCCGCACGGTGCACCCTCATCTACAGAGACGCTGCTGCGCAACATACAAAGCCTGCTGAAGGTGGCTGCGGACAATGCGCGTCAACAGGAGCGACAAATCAGCTACGAAAAAGGTGAGAAATATTTGAATGGCTTTTGGAAAAATAGAAGAAAAGGCACAAAAGACATCAAGACAAGTTTTGCTTTGTCGTGCATTGTTGCTGTTGGCAGCAGACGGCCGCTATTAGCCTGTTGAGGCAAGGCGCTTTTAAACCTTTTTATATTTTTTACTTTTTTTTGGCAGCCTTCATTTAGCTTTTGCGCTGCCGCTTTGATCTTTTCGCTTTGTCAATAAATCTTTAATCAACTTTCTCCGTCTTTTTTTTCTTCTTTCTTTTTCCACTTGTTATCTGTAGCCGAGCTTAAAATGGACGTTTTGCGCGAACGCGAAGTCAAAGATTCATTAGATCGACAATTAGCCGATGAACGGAAACTTAGAGGTGAGTTACAACAACAAAAATTATATTAAAACAAAGGCACTGTAAAATTAAAAAAAAAGAAATTGTTTCCATTGCAACTGCAGTCGCTTGCAGCTAAAGCGTTTAAAGATATTTTAAAGATACAAAGTAGTAGATACAAAGCAAGTAACTATATGTGTATTAGGGTGCGTCACCCACCATAAAAAAAAATCGCCACTAGTTTCCATCGGAATAATACAATTTATTATATTTTACGACTTCCGTCACTATAATAAGAATTAGGTGAGCTGAACCGATTTGAAAATATCTTCATTATTTTGATTCCGTTGATAAAATTTTCAAACATTTTTATGTAGGCCTTTTAAGCTTAAACTCTTCTATTACCTGAGTTGATTTTTTGAAAAAAATATATATATATTTTTTAAAAATTTATTTCATAAATTTAAAATGAGAAATTTTCCAAAATTGATAGGTGTAACCGGGCATTAATATTTTGATATTTTTTAAAATTGATGCAGCTCACGTAAATTTTAATATATTTTTTAACGTAATAAATTATTTAATTCCGACAGAGAAACCGCGACATTTTTGTAGTGAGGCACCCTAATGTTTATACATATATCTACAGTAGATATGTACATATGTTTATATATAGCTCTGCGCTGTTAAGTAATGTCAGATCGGTTACGCTGACAACATTTTGTGCGGCGGTTAATTTCCATTTTATGCTGATTTGAGGTTAAATGAAGTCAGTTGTAGATTGTGGGCTGGAGTTTAGCTAACACAATGAAAACAGCACTTCCGCATCACAAATAATTACAATAACATGGCGAAGTTAAGCGAGTCAATCGGCCATATTATTGTTGTCGACGTCGACGTCGATGTTATGTTTTCTTCAAACTCTCCCAAGTCCAAAGACAGCTACGATGACCACAGCAAAGGAAAGGTGCTCCTCGCAAAACTACGATGGCCAGCGAAACCAAAGTTAGACTGATGAAAGCTATTTTTTAGCGAAAAAATTACATTCGACAACCATAATAGGGCCGAATATTTACAGTTTTTGATAGCAATCCCGGCAATAGTGTACAGAGTCACAGAGTTGGAAGTTGACATTGGAGCTCAGTTTTCAGTTGGATATACGGAGTAAGGCAGCCGCTGTGTGTGTAGTGGTTAGTAGTGCGCGCTACCATTCCGCAGGGCTTGGGGTCAAGTCCGTTTCAAAAAATAAAGAACAAGAATTTTTTTCTAAGAGCGCTGACTCTATGCCGTCCATTGAACTGTTTTCATGCTCCTTTTAATATGTTTTAAAACTCCATGATTTACGAATAAACCTGAGCAGATTAGTGGGTGTCAAAGAGCGCAGGTGTTCGCCTCTCAACAAATCGCGGCCAAATGTCTCATACCTAATTCTTGCAAAGGCGGATAAGAAGCACAATGGGCAAATGAAGATGTCATGTACGGCTATCACAGTCAGGTATTTGCGCCATGTGAAGTGACCAGGCAGCAGTCCAAAAAGTTATCTGCAGTCCCGTCTGCTCAGTGAGAGCAAAAAACTAGATAGGTGCAGATTGGCTATCACTACAGACACGTAAACTCCTTCCTCTCCACCTATTTTGCACCACGTAGTCCATGGCCTTGAGGAAGCCTGGAAGACCGAAGCATACTCCTCAAGAGAAAAGTGTAGCTTATCCCCATAAGCTTCGATAAAGACGTCAGATCCTGACCCAGTGTCAGTTTTGGAGCCATCAGAGGAGACTCGATAATGTGTGAGTCCCGGCTCTGGTATTAACCAGCATTCAGCCTTAGGGAACTCGACATGGTAGAATATTTTTAACAACGGTAATGGTGGAGTACTATCCTATAGATAGCATTGAAACGACATAAGTCGCTTCACTCAGTGTTATACCTACATCTGTTTCTTTTTGAACTGCAGATGGCCTTTAAGGCTTCCTCACGTATGAAGACACAAAGTTATGTTAAGTGAAGAAGTGCATCAAGAGCAGCGCCAGGTGTTGTAGAGAAAGCTCCCGTAGAGCACGCGGCAATAGTACTTTGAAGTTTAGCAAGCAGACTTCTCACGCTATTGATTGAGATTGATTATGGGTCTGATCATAGAGGTATATATCCAGAGGGTTCCCTTTGGTGACTGAGCCCATGTTTTGCCAAAGACGTGTTTACATTGTCAATATTGCTGCCAATGCTTCGGAGGTCCACGATAATTTTTTTATCCAGAATTACTCCTAGATACCTCATTTCGGGTGAGGTTTGCATTGTGACTCCTTTAAGTTTAAGGGGAATGATACCATCCAACCTTCTCTTTCTAGTGAAGAGCACAATACTAGCTTTGGTTGGGTTAGCGGTGAGCCCATTTTTATCACACTAAGTGTCAATCGTATTCAGTACTGTCTGCGCTTTCCTGCAAACTCCCGGCAGAGATGGGTCCCTGACTAGGCCCAGGGACATCGTGTCGTTGGTTGCCCCAAAAACGAAACAGCATGGAGTTTCCGAATACTGCGCCTACGAAATGGCTACCAGTAGCTTTTTCTCTACCTGCATTCGCTCAAGGGATGACGGAGGAAGGCGTGTTGCCCGGAGGAACTTTTTCACGGATGAATAAAAACTTGGAGGCAGGACTGATGGAGTTATCATCTTCCGGGAGCTCCACGTCAGCACTAGGTTCAGGCTTTTGGACTGCTGCAGGCGGAAATAAATATCTGTCATAAAGGAAGAGTGTGACTTCAGTTAGGGTGGTAAGCATATGCTCTGATTTCCAGGCGGCTCTCAAAACCCTCCACGCTATGTATGGTGGTACACTCAAAGCGTCAAGTAATGTCTGACCTCCCTCTGCCAGCGTCGGAGTATTTTCTAGTAGCGCTTATTTGGGTTCCGGACAACCCCTGCAACGTTGCCGCCGGATAGGAAGTAGCTGCGGACACCTCTGTCCTTCTTTGGATTACTCTCGGGTGATTGATTCTTTTCTAAGCAACTGCCAAGGTAATAGCGAGGTGGAATCACCCCAGCATATTCTATTAGACTGCCCAGTCTTTGCGAGGTTAAAGTGGAAACATTTTGATTCACACTTCCTGGCTAACACTGAGGAGCTCTCGTGCATTAACCTAAGTAATGAGTAAGTAATGCTCTCCGTTCAGATTTTCGTGGTATTACAAAAACGATCTGTTCTCCTTTTCCCAGAGCGTCCCTTATCTGTGACAATCACTGTAACCGTACCTGCTGTCCGTTTCAAATTAAATATATTCTACATGTCCACCCATCGGTTTGTGTTCGTTTCCCAATTTCACACAACATGTGCAGGTACTGGAGTAGGGCTGATCTGCCTTAGACAAGGCCACTTATCGATTGATCCTCGGCTGTACAATCAATGTCTACCTTCATATGTCTCCTTTTTGAATATATACTTAAAGCAGTTTCTTAGTTATGGCTCTGTAAGTGATTGTCACAATTAGTTAATGCATTTTGTAGCATTCAGTTGCCAACAATTAACTGGTATAAAATTACTAACTGCGTACGTATGTCAATTCAATTCCACATACTATGTAAGTATGTCGGCAGCCACCAACATAACGTATGACAAATATCCATAAGTACTTGCATAAATGTATAAGAACATACGAGTATATATGTATGTATGTAAATATTGTTGACGCATCAATTGATTAATATTGAATTCCTTCCATGGTCACTGCAAGGAGACAAATCAGCGCCAATCAAGCGAATACTAATGTGAATTGACTTAAATATCGATGACACCTGATATGATTAAGTAGTAGATGAACAAACAAAAGGAGCACAATAAAATAACAACAACGAAAAAGTAACATTAAAAAACATTGAAAAACAGTGGACATGGCGTCACGGCAAGTCAGCTGCACAAACAGAAAAAGTAACAAATCCCGAGTGAATGCCAGAGATGCAGACGGCCGCGAAAAAAGCAGTAATACTAAAATGTCTGCACTCGTTGAATATTTGTTTTCAATTTTGTGATTTCTTTTTATTGCTTTTCAAAAGAAATCACAATTCGAATGAATTTAATATCATTTCATTAGTCAATTACAGTTGAATGGATTTTTACGATTCGCGCGCATAGGATTTCATTTCAGCGATGGAGGATGGAGGCCTTTGTGGGAGAGAGGAAAGTGCATTTTTAAGATTGTTTGGAATTATTCTTAATTTTTATGGGCACACTGTCACAAATACTTTTGCTTTTCAACAATTCCCGCTTTCAATTGAATTTATGAATGTATGTATGTATGTATGTATTTTAAGCAGCTCGCCCCTAACTCTATCGGCTATCTCTATCGAGCCCTCTTTAGCGTCATTCTTATCATTAAATCAGCCACAAATGGCAAACAAAAAAAGCCGGCAACGAAATCCCGTACACAACTCGGGAATGTTTGTGCATTTGCAACATATGTTGTGGTTATCGCGCTCGTATGCTGGCTCCATTATGTTGGCAGCGAGTTCAAATTGGGTCCAAACAATTCGCTGCTGACAAGTAAACATACAAATTGCATGCAAGCGAACATCTAATTGCAACTAATAATAACAACTTCAACAATGCAACTTCAACAAGCAACAAGCTGATTTTTTTACATTTAATTTCTTGCCATTGCATGCAACGCGCCCATTCATTCTTTTAATCGCAAATTTGCTCATTCTTAGCGAGAGTTACAATGGCAATTGCAATGTACAAGATGTAACAAACGAAAAGAGAAGAAAAAAAAAAACGAAAGTTAGAAATTGTGGAAGCGCTGTAGCGAGCTGGCTGAAGGCAGGAAGAGAGGGTTTGAGTAATAAAAATTTCATACATATGCATACATACATAAACACATGAACAGATTTCACACTGTTGAAGTATTTATTTTCAGTTGAAATTTGTGTACCCACTGCTCTAACGAAATGGTTTTATGTTCGGACACTTCACAACAGTAGACAGTCGTTCTAGTACTAATAAATAGCTATGACGCGTGGGCAATCGCATGAAATGTTCTCTGGGCTTAGCTCGCCAGCCCATACTACCGTCTCTGCAGAAAGCCCCATTTTACCAAGATAATCTTACTAAGATGCTATCTCAGTTTGCAATGTCCTGTCAGATAGTCTATGAGAGAAACCAGACCCTCCTAACTAAGATTCAGAATCTTTGATTGCAAACTAAGAATCCTTATACTTACCACGGAAAGACATTCAAAGACATCAAAACCCTAATGTCCGGAAACCCACTAAAGGGTGTCCCGGCTGTGTGTCCTTAGTTAGTTCAATACAGTTTCGCAGTTATCCAAAGGCCTTGATGTAGTTTTGAACATTTTCATAAAACACGCAGGCGCATAGTTCAGCTGTAAAGATCTCGACCTGAAATATTACTTTGGAGCCAGATACAATGCCATCCTCGATGTTGGGTCCATCGTAATGAATGAGAGTCCTTGTTAATAATTTCGGTAGCATTTAGAAACTTGATGACGGGAACGTCAAGGAATGGTCTTAAAACTACCAAGTGCTCATGAAGGGCTGCACTCCTAATGCTCGCTAAGTTGCTGAGTCGCAAAGCGCTTTGGAAAGTCTCCTTTTCAAGTAGTATGAGTAGAGGTGATACACCTGATGATTATTCGCAGTGCTTTTGTTCGTTTCGATCGGTATAACTTTTCCAGAATCGCGATGGCATGGTTTTGTCACTGTATCCCTAAGTTTTATTATTGGTGGTAAGAACTATTTTATGAGAGTTCTAACTTAGCCTTTAGTCCAGGCTTGTGCCTACATATATCGCATCTTGCGATAACTCAATCGGCATCCCTTTGCATTAGGATTATCCTTTTTCAAATGCCAAGGAATACGCAAAAGACCATCTGCTCTCACTACAATGCGTTTTCAATTATCTCAGTAGTAGGTATCCCTGATGTAAAAATCAAGTAGTTTTTCTAAAGTTTTGATTAAAAAGGAACAACCTCTTTCTTCTTCCATGACAGTCGTACGTGGGCAAGTAAGTAAGTAGTGGACTTATGTGCAGTATTTTAATTAGTCGTCCAGCCATGCATCATCTGACATGTCATCTGGACCAGGTATGTAATAAATGTTGAGATGGCCCACTGGATTACTGATGAAACTTCCAACTAACGTTCATGACCTCCCATTGGCGCACAAAGCGCGTGCTGTGATTGTTTCAGAACGCAAGAGAGTTCAGTCCAGGAAGTTGGTGTCCAATAAAAGTCTAGTTGCTTCGTCCAGAGAGTCAGTCCTCATCCGGCTTTTTAAGAGTGCAAAAGCCTTTCCGATGGTTCAGTTTGGGGCCCGCTGTAGGGAAGAAATTTTTCTAGAGTACTCGCGTTGCTTAGCCCTTTTAGATATCCTGAAAACACAGCAGCCAGGCCCACTTCATTGGCAGTTCAGTCTTGCCTTCTCCTATGGAAGAGTTTCCTTGAGTTTTGGCTTAGCGCACTGAAATCATTGTCCCATTACGGAAACTCAATCTGAAATGGAGATTTGTTGACCTTCATTGGGTCATACTCTTCGAAGTCTGATCTAAAGACATATTGAGGTTGCGTTGATTCAAACTATAGAGGGCGGGCATTAGTGATTGTTGTTGTGGACGTGTTCATTTCCTGTTCTATATGCAGATCGAAGAGATCCTAGTTAGTGCCTTGGGATTCCATTAATTTCCATGTAGGCTTTCATGTCAAAGTTTATATGACAGTGATCTGACACTGATATCTTATTTCGGAAATGACTTTAACATTTGCAAAAAGGGTGCATTTTTCTTTTTAAGAATGTATCAATTACTTTTAATAATAAATTGATGAATTGCTTCTCTCCTAAATGGAAAATAACCCTTGTAAAATCACTGTGCGACAATGACAGAAATGTTTGTTGGAAGGAATTGCGACAATCAATCCTTAAACAATTTTGTCATAAATTCGTTCATTGGGTATAAAAAATATTACCTGCAACTAAAGTTGACTTTTAGCTTGCTTAATAAATATTTTCTTACTAGATTTTTGCTAACTACCTCAATTATGATAATTTGCCATATTTTTTATATATATTTTTTTTAGTTAGTATCTAAAGAATTTAATTTTTTTTCTGCTATGAAAACTACTCCTGCCCTTGACTCTTGCAAACTGCACTTAAGTACACAAAGTACCTCATTCATTCTTATGTAGATACGATAATTTATATTATTTCTGAGTGGGTTGTCATCACTCGCCTGCTGTCTTCGACAAACTTCGCATTCGCATTTAGTTAGGTGTGTCAATGCGAATTAATTTGTTGTCTGCTTGGTGAAACGGAAATGGAGACATCGAAGGGTTTTGCTTGCTGTTTTTTTTTTTCATTTTGTTGATGTGCATACTGCCTACATACGTTTTTAATCTGTCGTGGGAGATGATCCGTGGCTTTGCAAAGTTGACAATATTATTGAAGTAGAATTAAAGAGAAAGACACAACTAAGGGAGTTATTAATGACCAAAAACTCACTACCAGTTCTTAAGGGGCAATTTGTTTTAACAAGCAAAAATGTTCTTACATTACTTGTAAATTAAAAATTCATGTCTAGTTTTTAATGACCAAAAATTTTGCCAATTTTTTGAATGAACAAAAATTCAAGCCCACGATTTTTAACAAACAAAAAATTATGTCCAGTTTTAAATGACCAAAAATCGATGTAGAGTTTTATAGCAAACAAAAATGTATGCCCAACTCTTTTATGGACCCAAAATTTTTATCCACTTTCCACTTTTTACTAACCAAACTTTTATGTTCAGTTTTTGAACGACCGAACATTCAAAACCCCTGTTTGAGTGACCAAAAATTTACAAATTTTTTACAAACAAGAAATTTATCTTCGGTTGTTTAGTAAAGAAAAATTCATGTCCAGTTTTTAATGGCAAAAATTTATGTCCAGTTTTACTGACAAAAAATGTATGTCCAGTTTTGGAAAGAACAAAAATTTAGGTTTTGTTTTTTAAGAAACACACGAGGGTTAAAAAATTCATATCAAGTCCACCATTTTTAACAAACAAAAAATTATGTCAAGTTTTGAATGACCAAAATCTATGTCAAAGATATGTATCAAACAAAAATACATGCCCAATTTTTCAAGGGCCAAATTCTGAACCACTTTTTACCGACCAAAATTGTATGTTCTGTTTGAGTTACCAAAATCTATGTCCAATTTTTTACATACGAAAAATTTTGCTTCGGTTCTTTAACAAAGAAAAATTTGAGTACAGTTTTTAATGGTCAAAAATTTATGTCCAGTTTAGGAATGGCCAAAAATTTAGGGCTCGCTTTTAAACAAATACAAAGTCTAAAACTTTATGTCAATTTTTTAGGGGCCAAAAATTCATGACCATTCCTTAACGATCAAATATGTATATCCAGTTTTTAATTGGCAAGAAATTATGTCTAGTTTTTAATGGTAAAAAATGTATGGCTAACTTTTTACCAAAGATGTATGTTTGCCTCAGAAATTTTTAAAGACGCCAAAGGTTTTTAAGCCGGCACCGGAAACTGGAGAGACTTTGAGTAAATTTTTAAGATTTTTTAAATATTCTTTTAAGATAGCATACAAAATCATATGCAAACGCTAAAAACATTCCCACCGACCTGTGTAAAACCTTCTGATGACCCAACGTCCACACATCGCCCTCTCAATCGCCGATCACACTAATCCCCTATGACTTCCAATGACTGACATGATTCGTCTGTAAATTGCATTAGAACGAAATGACGACAACATTCGATTGAACGTAATTGAATTACGTAAGTGAGGCCCACACGCAAAACGGATTCGCAGTTGATTGCGTCGCGCAAAACGGCGAACGTCAAAGAGCCGGCGAGCATGCGAACGAGCGATCAGTCGATCGAATGAATGATCAAATGAACGGACAGACAGACGAACGCACTATCGGTCGGCAGCAATCAATGGCAAATCAGCAGCAATAACAAATAATCTGAATAAATAGTATAACAACAACAACAACAACAGCAACAGTTGTTGTGTTCAACAGTCACCCGTCATATGCCGCCCGCACACGCATTACATAAAAGGGGATGCTGATTGAATGGACGGACGATGATCGGCCGCTCGGTCGGTCAGTTGATTGAATGGATGAATCGCTGGTTCGTTGGCTGGTTGGTTGCAGGCGCGCTGCAGTTGCATATTGAATTACAAATTCCGGTTTTTTTCTTTCTACTCAAATATTTTTTTGTTTGTTTTCGGGCAAACAAGATTTTTCATTGTTTTTCTGTGCTTTGGTTTTTCATTGCAGTTTTGTACCAGAAGCGCTACCGTCGCGAGCGTAAAATGCGCATACGCTACCAACAGCAGCTGGACGGCAGCAAACGAAAATCGACACACCCATCGAGTGCGGGTGGCAATAGTGGCGGCAATGGCAGCAGCAGCAGCGGCGGCGGGGGTGGCGGTGTCGGCTGTAGCGCTGCTGGGCCGAATGGCAACGAGGAGGGCCGCAGCAGTGTCGGCGGTGAATGCAAAAATAGCAGCGGCGAAGCGGCGACGCGGAAAAACGAACAAGGTTGGTAGAAAATATTCCTATCAAATGTATCTACATAAGTAATTTTGCACTGGCGCATAATTTCGATAAATCAGAAACTTATTTACTTTAATGATAATGATGACTTAGGGCCGTTTACTCAAAAATTTTTTCAAATTTATGCGGCCTTTAAATAAATTTTTTGAGAATACAATTTATGTTTAAAGGGCAGACAAGTTTTGAGAAAACGATCCAAAAACCATCAAAAAAATTATTTAAAAAAACCTCTTAATTTCCACTTGAAACTACGATTAACCACCCCTCCTTTAACAAACAGCCTCTCCCTGTGCTCTCAATCTCGCCCCTTAGATAACGATTGCAAATCGAGCGAAAAATCTGAGAAATCGTTGAATTCAAATGATGGCTGCTCGCTAACACAACAATCACAAAATGCCCAAACGCATCAAGCACAACAATTGCAGCAACAACAACAACAACAGCACCAGTCACAAACTCAATCATTGACCCATCATCATCAGCCACAACAACAACAACATCATCATACCCATCACTTGCGACAACGTTCCGAAAGTCCTACTTTCAAACGTGAACCCCAGTCGGATCGTGATAGTCCCGCTGGTCGTCACAGCGCCGATCGTTTGGAACGTTGCGATCGTGAACACTCCGAACGTGAATCGCGTGAGCATTGCGAACGCTCAGAACGTGATAGCAGCGGTGGTGGTGGTGGCGGCGGCGGCGGCGGCGATGTGTCTGCCATGGAGCGTTCGTTGAGCTTGCCACCCACTTCACAAGCGGAAGGTAATTTGGCGGCAGCGGCAGCAGCAGCAGCTGCAGCGGCTGCGGCTAGTGGTGGAAAGGCACCATGGAATTATCCGGGCATCGATTTGATGGCCACTGGCGCGTTCTGGCAGAACTATTCTGGTGAGTATTTAAAGTCTTATTGATACAAAACTACAGTAGCCACCAGTGTGACCAGGTTACGCTCTTTGAGACTGGATTTAGCGTTTAATACTACGACATAGTCCCAGGATTTTAAGACTAGCTAATATTTCAGGAACTTCAGAAACCATTTCTTTGAGGATACTAGTTCTTAGCTTCTTATTTAGGATTTCATGCATAATTTCTCATATGCCAATTCAGAAATGTTTTTGTTTTTCTCACCCTGAACTGAACTCTTCTTTGCATACCCCGAAGTAGTGCCGCCGTTATATATAGAAATTATTTTGTGTATTGATAAGGATTTAATTTTTTTTTTAAAGAAAATTGTTTTCGCTGAAGTGATTGAGTTCGTGAAGAGGTTTTTAGATATCAATAAACTGACTTCGTTTTAACTTAATTTTTCAGAGAATATCGAACTTAACTCGGATAACTTAATTTTTCGAATCTTGTTGGAAATTGAAGGACAAATATAGACTATGTTGTTGTTGTTGTTGTGGTAGGATAGAAAACCTTGCTCAAATCAGTGAATCTACTAAGTGTTTTTGTCATGCTCATCTAACCTGGTCCCGGAGCATGGAAATTTCGAGAGGGATTGGACCTTAGAAAAAGAGGTGTTAGAAAAAATTATTCGAGTGAAGAGGCGGTTAATATCTTGCGGGAAATCTCCACAAATTTGACATAGTCAAGGTATGTCGGGGTTAGTTCTGGATAGGAGGACAACCTGCAACATATCCAGCAAGAGTCGTAGCAAATTATCGTGGATCTCACGAGGAGCTCGAGGTCTTTGTCTACCCCTTTATCTACGAGGAAAACCTAGCACTACATACCGCGGGTAGTTCCCTATAGATTTACAACAGTAATAACAATTATTTAAAACAAAAAAAATTACCAAAAATATAGTCTACAGAGGCAGTTCCTAGTGCAACATTCCAAAAGTAATTGCTTACTCGGAATAATGTCACGCTTATGTTAACTCAGAGCATTTTGGTCCTCGCTGTGAAAGTGGTGCTTAGATGATATCAGGGGACATGCCGTGGTAGCACTTAATACGTCGGTGTTACAGTTTTGAAGCTTTATCCACTGTGTGCTACTAGATCTTGGCGACCACACAGGTGTAGTGTAATAGTTTAAAACCCGCTGGCGATTTGTCTTGTACGTTTCCTACCGGCTGGCGATATCAGCACTTGTTTGTGGCTCTATACGTTATAGACAAAGTTGTCAAGTGTTACCCGTAAAGTTTTTGGGTTAATTATGGTCAGTTTTGTAGTTTTATCGATTCGTATGCCTAACTGTAGCTTGATGTTTTTCGTCCAAATTGCAAAAAAGACTTGTCGTTGATTATGCAGAAGAAATAATTAGGAATTGCAGTGGAAGAGCTGAAAAGGTCTGCGGTAGTCTTAACTGCCTTGCTGCTGTGGATACCCGGCAACAGTACCCCTGAAGCAACATAGCAGCCATAATTTCAGCTAGTTCTGAGTCATTCCTGCTCGTCTCCACTTCCCAAAAAGCACAAAGAGATGACTCACCCGTGTATGCCTCATTTCATTATTCATATCTCTAGGCCAGTGATGATCAGAAAGTACATGGAATACATATATAACTGCCTGATAGTCGATATTGATATTGATTGTGACTAAAAATTTAATTTCCCTGTCAGAAATTACTGTGAATTCGGTAAAAGATTCCAATCTTTAGATGGGTTTCTAAAATGGGCATTTAAACTGGAGTTTTTAGGAAGGACTGCCAGAGTGCTGGGTTTCAGGTATATAGGCATATCGTCCCGTTTTTCGGGGTGTTCCGCTTACACTTTGACTATTTCTGGGTAAACGGAAAAAAACGGAGGTTTACGCGGCTTTTTATTCCAAGCATACGCTTTCTAACGCGGTTATTAGCATGTCCCGGCACTAGTGCCTTATCGGTCCTTTGTTCAGACATCACTTAACGATTCCTTTGCAATCTTTAAGGATGAGAAAGAGATAGACGAATGAGCTTCCAATTTAAGAGACCAAGATAGCTGGTTTTGGGGACAAGTAAAGTTGCGCCTGGTGAATTCCTCGTTCCCATAGCCTTCACATTAAAGCTTTGAGACCACTAAGTGAAATTTTAAAGAACATCCTGTCTACCCTAGCCAATACTCGATATGTCTCATTGTTTAGACCATACATACGCTTTCGTTTTTCAAAATCTATTAAACCTTAACATACCAAGCGTTGTATTTGAAAGACCCCAGATAGAGGTTTTGAGTGATTCTGCCGTAACTACAACAAATAATTAGGTCTTAACTTTTGTATGGTGCTTAATGAAACTAGGAGGCTAAGCTTTTACTTAAGACAGGTTAGAGTACCCCCGTTTATAAACATTTTTAATTATTAATCTCTAAATATTACTCATTTAAAAATGAAACGAAATAATTTACTTACTAATAGAAAAAATTTCGTATGCTCTTCATTTCTTCTTATAGAGTCCTTGGCTCAAGAAATCGAATTGGAACGCAAAACGCGCGCCGCCAATGCCGAGCGTGACGTGAAGAGTCCACTCACCGATCGCCCACCAGCATACTACAAGAATTCCGTACTTTTCGGCAGCGCCAATTAAAAGACCACAGAGCAAAGTGAGTATTGCGAGAGCTATGTAAATGGGAAATGCGATGATGTGCCGACGGCAAAGCTTGTACTTATTTGAGTAGTAGATGAGTTAGAAATCGAAAACGTTTAAAAGTTTTAAGGAAGCAAAATGAAGAAAAGTGTAAAAGCAGACAAAGATTTACAATATCTTAGTTATGATCTCAAAGTGCAATCACAAGACGGGTGAAAATTGAAAGCGTAGTACGGAAAATAACGAAAGAAGAATATTGTATAAAGAAAAATTGAGTAAAACAATTAGCATTTGCTTTGATAGACGCGTTACGACGGCGCTCAGTATACGAAATGGAAGATGGCGTGGCAGGGCCGAAAGTGCTTACAAATACATATTTATATGCTTACAAGAACATTAATACGTGTGTGAGGGTATAGAAGAATAAGGAATTAAAAAAAAAAGCATTTACGTATAGCGAAAAGTAGCAAATAAAACTACTTACGAAACTTGTTACCAGTGAAACGCATACGAAAGTTGTGTTTGTATATAGTCAAGGCCAATTCATGTGGCGGCGTTCTTAATACATAGTTTGTATGTTGGTATATATTTATACATATTTTAATTTTGCGATAATAGAAGCTTAGCGAATTTTCATTTTTGTTACGTTAACACTAAAAAATACGGTCTAAAAAATAATAAAAAAAAATACCTAATAGTAGCTGTAGTTGTTTAAGCACATTTCAGCGTTTATTAAATAAGTATGTAGAGCGTAAATAAAATTTTGTTTAATCGCTTTTGAAAAGCGCTTAGAAAAAAAAAAAATAAAAAAAAATTAAAAAAAAAAATATTAAAAAAATGGTCATATATTAAACTTATTACTAACTGACTAGATAATTAGCTCCGTAAGCCAGTGAGAACAGCTTTTCTTTGTTTGTAAGTAAATATAATAAATAGTAGGTTAACATTTAACGATTTTAAGATTTCTGTAGAACTGCTGAGTTAGTGCTTGGTTTAAAAAAAAAAAAAAGTGTTAAAAAAATCAGCGATATTAAGCTTCCTTACAATTGTCAGCTTGTATGTATGTATGACTGCTAGTAGCATAAGCGTGTTAGATATAGTACGTACTTATACATATACATTTACATACTTACATCTACACACTCGTATAATTTGTTATACTTAGGTTAAACGATTAGTTAAACAAGTGATTGAAGCTGGAAAAATGCTTCGTCACCAAACCTTTGTAAATAAATAGCATAACATAGCATAACGTCTGCATATACGATTTTTCGCCGGGGAGCAGCTTTTGTAGGGATTACATGTGGAAACTTGAAAAAAATTTATTTATACACAAGAAAAATTTTTCAATTATAAATTCAGAATTTTTGGTAAATTTATTTGCCGAAAAGTTTATTTATTTTTCTTCATAAAAAAATTGTCGAAATTTCGTAATTTTTGTTTTTACAATACTTGTAATGAAACCCTTAAAATTTATCTAAAAGTGTTTAAAATTAAAACTGAACATACATTTTTAATCCAGAAGCAATGCTAATTAAAGTTTAGGCCTAATAATTTTTCTTAATCCTGAAAATAATTTTTTTTTTAAATTAAGTTTCTTTTGAAACCAAATTTCTAAAATTGTACTATGCAATAAATGCCATCAACCACTCTGTCATGTACTACTGCGCGCTACCACTCCGCAGGCGATGCATTGATTTATGATATCACGGATAAGTCTCCAAGGATATTAATGGCTTCAAAGGGATTAGAATAAATACCAATCGTCCGCCTGTACGAACTGAGAGCCACGTTTTGCTATTTCCCCCTTTCCTCGATGTCAGGCTACCATTACTGATTTTTGTTCATACCGCGTCTTACAGAAATGTCGCTCAGCCGCTCAGCCGCTCAGAAATGCCGTTCATTGCGTGGCCTCGGCCTAAGCTGGATGGTGGCACTGCCCTTTGCGCTTAGCTAAAGATATGGTTATTGGTGATAGGTAATAAGATCAACGGAAATAACATTATTACCTTTTCAAAAGCGAAATAAAATCCATTGACATTATTGCTCGTTCAAACAATAAATTTGCTTAGCTTCGTGGCGGGCCGCGTCCGCGCTCGCCCAGCGCACCACATCACGCTACGCTATATTTAATAAGCCATTTTGGGTTTCAAAAACCGCCACTCAAAATTTAAAAAGAAAAATGTTTACCCAATTTTTAAGACTTGTAACAGATTGCTTGTTTAGCTGGACCAATTTTGGGGAGAGGAGGCTTCAACGGATGAAGAATGCCTCGTAAAAACAAAAACCGCGTACGTATGTATATCTTCTGGAATTTAGGGAATTTCGGCAATTTGTAAACATTTTTTTTTTTGTTAACAATTTTAAGCGGAAATGTTAAAACGCACTAAAAAAGCTTGTTAATGTACATATTAATGAATCAAAATGAAAAATTATAAAAACCGTAAAGCGACAGTATTTAATGAAAAATAAAATTACATAACTTTAAATTTTTAAGTAATTCACGCAAAAAAACATATTTATTTCATTTTGAAGTAACATTTCCATTCAATATTGAATTAGACACGATAAGCGCATTGAATATTTAAGTAAAAGAAAAATTACTTAATAATTAAATTAAAGAAAAAAATCAATTTAGGTATTAAGATATTGAGTAAAAGGAAAACGATAAAAATGTTTACATTAACAACAATTAAATACAATTAGACATCATAAAATAATGCATAAATAGTAATGCAATTAAATAAACGTCACACACACACACACACACACGCGCGCGCAGTGCATACATACAAACAAACAAAACAACTTCTATAAATAAATAAATAACTACAAGCATTCAATAAATTATTATATACATAGCATACTTACATACAAACATACATACATACATAGTTATCCATTTGATTGCTTCGCATTGAAATGCAAAATGAAAACGCAAAAAAAAAACGAACACAAAAAAAAATCAACTATTATTAAACAATGCTACAGTAAAAATAAATTATTATTACTATTATTAAAATAAAAAAATATATAAAAACCGATTTTTTATTGCTTATATGGTTTACAAACGATTGGTAAGTATGAGCAGGTATCCCGTTAAGAATTCGTTTACTACTAAGGAGCCGAGACGATCTCTACTGACTTTGGGTATCGCGGTGCTGCGGAGAAATTTACCAAAGTTAAAAATTGCTAAAGCTTCCGACTTTCGTTCGGCCATGGTATCAAAAATGTGGCGCTTATGTTCAGAGTTTCTTTAGGAATACTTTTGGATTAAACAAACTTTCATTCGAATCCATTATTTGTGACATTTTTTAACCAATTTTTATGGAACGCGGTTTTCTGATTAAGTTTTCTTTTGGTAGTATTAAAAATATCCTTTGAAATTATTAAAAACGTATGGAAGGATATTCATCATTAGCAGCTCTAAAGAATCTTCGTCCACTACTTTCCGTGGAAGCCCTTGGGACGCATTGGCACTAGTCTCATTCGCGTCCTCCGTTTCCAACGCCTGAAAGGGGAGTGTGATTCAGAGAACGGAAGAGTCTTCTGGAACACCACTAGGTGCTCAGACTTTTCACCCACATTCCCCTTTTTGGTTATCGAGGGTGATAGAGTAGAAGCCGTTGCTAACCTCTCCGTTGCTCTCAGTGAGCACTGGGAGAAATTCCTCGTTAATCACCAATGTGACTTAAAGTTGTTGCTTCTTCACCTCGCCGAACTTCACTACTCTCCAGTCAAGGGTTAGTAGTGATTCATTGGAGATTTTTATGGGACCAGAATCTGGTGCGTACTTGGACCCAGGCCCTGGGGCGCCGTTTGCTATCGATCTCCTTCCTTTGCAGTGCCACTTAGTCAGCGCCGTGCCATAGTTCCCCAATAGCGAAAATGGCTTTCTTATATAGGCTGACCCATCTCTAAGCTGCGTAGAAGACCAGTTTGGTTCGGTTGTGGTATAGACCACTATTTTGCCACAGAATCTCCTTGTATAATCGGTGCAAATCTACCGGGACGAAGAAAGGGGGATATTCTTCGTCGTCAGGTTCCTCTTCGAGAGCGCTCCCCTGAGTCCGGTTACGAATTTTAGAGAGAATTTTACTTACCCTCTCTATCACTTCCTTCAAATTATCTGCCACGGAATCATTGCCGATTTCTTTTCTTGTCCCTGTAATACCGGGACGGGGGTTAGAGTGTCCATCTTCTGACTTGAGACCCGTGTAGGACTGATACTCGGTTGGCTGTTTTTCCGTGTAGGGTGTCAGTACCATTGCTACTAAAACCCCTTCAGAGCTACCCGTAGGTTGTTTGGTAGCCGCTGCCCTAGATGTTGTCAGCTGAAACAACAGGACTATCGGCCGTACAAACTCAGATTGCACGTTAGACACCTATTGCTAAAGTGGTGTCGCAAGTTACAGGACTTCTAGTTAATATTTAACGTGTAGGCTTCTTCGGAACCAAGCCCGCGGCTACGTTTAATTGTTTTATAGTTAACATCTGGTTCGTTGGTCAATTACTAAGCCGAAACCTTACGGCGGACGAATAAAAAGAGGTTAGGGAAAGTACGGGCGGCCCCAGTAGAGTCAAATGCTGTGGTAAGTTCATCGTAACTCTCAGAGCCGCACAGGTAACCGAGACTTCGTTAAAATCGAATGGCTTTGATACCGCTGGGTATGGATCCAAAGTGTCTAGTGAGAATAGGATCACCTCGGAAATGATGCGCCTTATTATTAGCTCATTACGGTCTTAATGGCACTGAGATATGCTTCATTCACACTCCGCATGATAATATTTACGACTCCTAGTTTCTAGCTGAATTTCATCGTAGCTGCAATTTAAAGAAAGTTTTTTCGTTTCGACGTCCGACTCATTATATTTTTTTTTTTTTTACAAAAATGTGTACATCACGTTCGTAGCTGTAATACATTGTCTTTATGTCATGGGTCCCCAATGGTTAAATAAACATTTGGTAATTATTGGCAGTCTCCTGAAGAGAAACAGAGTTTCCGATCGAAAATTATTGATTTTCTACAATTCTATAACATTTCTACGAAAAACGTTTTTTTTCAAATGAAATGGAAATAATTATTTCAATAAAATGGAAAAAATTTAGAGCTTTGAGCGAACTCTAAATAGTTTTTGATTTCGAAATAAAAAAACAGGGGTAAATTTTTTTCTATACATAATAATCCTAGGGGTGAGAGTATTATTACAAATCTGATTTAATTTTTCACAGGCACAAGTACATACATATATATGTACTTACTTATAGGAAGCATATTGCATCTCGTTTTATACTTGAATGCCTACAAAAAAGGAGATGAGATAATCTATGCAATTTTACGGTAAAAGTTTAGTGGAGACTATAATCTCTTAAGGGACTAGTCATATAAACCTTCGCAGGGTATGCCAATATTCACGCATGCATATTTTGATGTACAGGTGAATACATATATTCGCGCATAGGTAA